ACGCAGTTTTGGCTGAAACGGACCCTGGGTAGAAAGCATGATTTGTTATGACCATGCCACTTAGTCCTTTACGCTGTTGATATCACCCTTCTCAAAAATCAGGACAAAAAGAGAGAACAAGAATTCCTTCACTGTTCTCATTTCTCCGGCAGGACTTGGAATACTTGTTCGCTCACTGTGGTCCCTCCAGTGACTCAGCAGACACTGTGCTTTTGGCTTCACGTCAGACACATTCTCATTAGCATTAGCTTTGTGTCCGAGAAGCTCCGGTGTCACGGCGATTAGCAGACTTTTGTCCGTATTCACTAGACCTGCAAATGACCGATATGGGCCATAAAACACAGGGATGATGTAACAAGATTTATAATGTGCTGAGTAAATGTTGAGGATCACAAATGGAGAGGGCTTCTATAGAAACGTGTTTTATGGATGTACTTAACATGACACGCAGTATTATGTGTGCAACGCATTGTTTTCAGCATTTAACCATTCTTTAACCAGGAATGGCCTGGCGATACAACATTCTTTTTGAGGGAGACCGAGCCAATCCTTGGTATCTAGGCAACAGTGCGCATTTACAGTTGGTAAAATGGACTGGACAGTATATATACATGTATAGACATGAAACTTTAAATGCTATGAGTTTATTGTTGTATTCCATCAACCTTTTGAATTGAACCATTTCCAGTGTAGATTTTGGTTTGACCTTCATCATTATCATCATCATCACCATCAATATTGTGCATGGCCTTAGTTTCCAGGCTTCTGTACAAACCATGCATCTTGTTAAAAATCCTTTGGAATGACCCTGTATTCGTACTTAAAAAAAATTGAAACAGAAATGAGACAAAGACATCTTCGACAATACAAGATGTAGCACAAGCATGTGGTATAAGTCAGATTGTAATATAAATGTGTTTGTATCATCGTGAACTAACACAATAATATAACTTTCATAATATTTTGACATTTTCATAGGCTGCCCACGCTTATTGCCCGCGAGGAAGTTCTCAAATCCTTAATATGAAGCAGTTTCCTCTTGTGCATGTCAATGAAGGAGAAGTAGTAGAATTAGTAGTACACTGTAAACCCTAACTTCAATCGTACTTCAGATATCAAAGTTATTTTGAATAGATTTTTCCCAGTAAGTAAATATTACTCATTCATTGTTAGTCTTTAGGAGTGCAGGGGTCTTTTTGGAGTGCAGGGGCCACTCCTGAAGACCTTCTATGACTCTGTGGTGGCATCAGCCATCTTGTACGGTGTGGTCTGCTGGAACAGCAGCATCACAGAGAGGGACAGGAAGAAGCTGGACAAGGTCATCAGTAAGTCCAGCTCAGTCCTGGGCTGTTCCCTGGACACAGTGCAGCAGGTGGGGGACAGGAGGGTCCTGGACAAACTAACATCTATGCTGGACCATGACTGTCACCCCCTGCAGGACACTCTTTCTGCTCTGGAGAGCAGCTTCAGTGACAGACTAATTCACCCTCGCTGTGTGAAGGAGAGGTTCCGTAGGTCTTTCCTTCCTGCTGCTGTCAGACTGTACAATAAGAATTGCTGAGCCTGTAAATTTCATTCATCTGTAACTAAGTAGATTCTTAAATCATGTGCTATGTGCAACTTCAGAATGTCACAGAACAATGTCACTTTACCTCATGTCACTTTACTTATATACTTTTTATCCTGCACTATTTAACTGTACAGTATATAACTGCACTACTACATATATATTTTTTGACTGGTATTGAAGCATTTTCAGCATCTACAGCTAGTTATGTTAGCTAAGAAACATAGCTACTACTTATTTGTATATAGTGTATATATTGTGTGTGCTCCCTGTGTGCTCTTACTACTGTCCTATATGTGCGCTGCAACATCGAAATTTCCCCACTGTGGGACGAATAAAGGAATTCTTATCTTATCTCATCTTAAAGCTTGGCTATATCACTCATGGTTTTCTTTGAATTGAACTGTTTCTGTTCAAGTAAGCCTCACTTTTGACATTTTGACGTGTAGATTCTTTAAGAAAGCAGGTATAGCAATGTTAGAGTGGCCTGGTGGCTGAGTGGATAGCACAATTGCCTCTCAACTACAATGTTCAAAGTACGAATCCCGGTTGGAGCATAATTTGAAATTTAAACTTTATTGCAATCACTTGAGTTTACTTGGTAATATCAAGTAAAGGATGTACTCGAGGAATTCAAGGGAAGTTAATACGCAATTTATTTCCAAGGTTTTTTCAAGTAAACTTTAGTTGACAGGGTTTACAGTGTAGTAGTAGTAGTAGTAGCAGTAGTGGAAGTAGTAGTAGTGGTAGTGGTGGTGGTAGCAGCAGTAGTAGTAGTAGTAGCATTAGCATTAGCAGCAGCAGTAGTAGTAGTGGTTACAGCTGTAGCAGTAGTAGTAGTAGTAGAGTAGTAGAATTAGCAGCAGCAGTAGTAGTAGTGGTAGCAGCAGTAGTAGTAGTAGTAAGTAATCTTTATTTATATACCGCCTTTTCACTGCACATCGGAGTCTCAAAGCGGTTTACAATTGTGATTTTTTTTTTGGGATTGGGGGTGCCAGTACAGGAGGCACATGCCAGATCTGTTATACATATTTTTAGTGGTAGGGGAAACCGGAGCACCCGGAGGAAACCTACGCAGACACGGGGAGAACATGCAAACTCCACTCAGAAAGGCCCTGGTCCAACCGGGATTCGAACCCAGGACCTTCTTGCTGAGAGGCGAGAGTGCTATCCACTCAGCCACCGTGCCGTAGTGATGGTAGAAGTGGTGGTAGCAGCAATAGTAGTAACAGTAGCATTAGTTGTAGTAGTAGAGTAGTAGCTTTAGCAGCAGCAGCAGTAGCACTAGTAGTAGTAGTAGCAGCAGCAGTGGTAGTCAGAATGTAGAGTAGATGCCTTGACAGTGAAGAGACGATCATCCGTGTTTTGAGCCTCAAGTGATTTCTCTGAGGACTTTTCTAAGAAATGCTCTTGATCTCTGTCAGAAACATCTCCGTCATTCTCTCGGTGACAGACAAAAGGCCGTCAGCGTCTGGAGCCTCTTCACGCCACATTCTGAAGAGCTTCTGAACTGCTCACTTGTCATTGAACGCTTTGTCGCTCATAAAATCCAGTATCTCAACAGAAACTGGACTAAAAGTAGCAAATGTGAGTTAGCAACATACTTTCTGCTCCGTCTTATCAATCACACTATTGTTTAGCAAAGGAAAACAACAGCGTCATATGCTCTGTGAGATCATCCACGGTGACGGTGACCTTTTGTTCCGATTTTGAAATAACATGAGTTTTTTTTAATCAATTATTTCCCCTGCGCTTTATGTCAGCTGTTGTATACTTTGTGTTGGATTCGCATGAATTATTGGCACAGTATATTTATTATTATTATTATTATTATCATTATTTATTAAGGACACAATACGATACGGTCATAGGTAAAAGAAAATACACAATACATAGAGTATATTCAATCAATCAATCTTTATTCATATTTGTGCTTTTCTTACACAGGATTACACAAAGCACTTGACAGTCCACATCACACACCGCACAAACATAAAACACCAAAATCACCATTAAAACACAAATCACACAAGTATTTAAAAACATTAACAGATAGATTGTTTATGCACTGCAAACTCATTTTGGTCGGGAGCCGAATTTAAACAGTGATGGCTGGTGCGGGGGGACTTTTCTTTTTACAATATATTATTTTCTAGTATTTTCAATACGAACAAAATTGGTTCAGTTACTGTTTGGATTGAACCAAAACTGTAAGTATGTCAGAAGAAGGTTTGTTATTGTAGAGTAATATACCAATGTTTTCATAGTTCTATTCAACTAAATCAAATTACTTGTTTAAATGTTTGAATACCTGAAATGGCATGGCTGTTTGCTTCCAAAAAACAATTTTAACTGCCCATGGTAGCCGTATTAACGTACGGTGGCCATCAGCGCTGCAAGTTAGTGTTTTGATAATGTCGCTATAACAAGAAGGTGGATGTCTTTACTATAGAAAGTAAGTAAGTAAAGTTTATAGGTATAGCGCCTTTCAGAGACCAGGATCACAAAGAGCTTCCCATTTAAAAACATACAGATAAAAATAATACACATAAAAGTCAGATTCAAACCTTTCCATCACTTATTTGCATCTATTTATCAAACTATCTACTTTAATGATGAAAAACTTTTGAATACAACTAAAGCCTTGTGTAAAGAACCTCCCCATCGCTATGGCAGGAGACCTGGTTTGGTGGGAATGGCCCCTGGATGTCACTTTGGACAGGCCCTATAGTGTATGCCCGGGGCCTCCCTGAAAGCTTTTGGTGGTGGGCCATCGATCTGCTCTCCGTCTCATTGATGCGGTTGTGGCTTTCTGTTGGAGGGGATTTCTCTGGATCTGAGCTGCATCCGGAAAGTGCAGCTCCGCATCACATCACTCACAGGTGGAAGCGTTGCCCCTGTTCCCTGTTCCTATGGTGAAAAAGGCCCTAAAAGGAAGAAAGGAAGAGTGTTTGTGTGTGCGAGCCGAGTTGTTGTCAGTTTTACTCAGAGCAGTGTGGATGTACTTTTCGATAAGGATTCCTAAGACTGATTTTCTTTTCTCTTCGACGAAAATGTTTTGTTTTGATAAAAATAAGACAAAAAAAACATCACATGTCATTATAAGAAATTTATTTGCCAACTTCCAACTGTTTTCTCAATGTTTTTTGCACTTGTCAGTTTAATTTTACTGCTATAAATGAATACATACAGTAACATCTGTATATTTATCATTGTGCGCTAAAGCTAGAGATTTCATACTTGCTTCTTTATTTTGCTGAAGCTACATTTTAGTTTAGTATAGACATATTGTTCATTTATCTTGTTGTAGCTGTGTGCTCCTCATTCCTGCTGTCCTGTAACTGATGATGCAACACTGAAACTTCCCCACTGTGGGACAAATAACGGCTCTTGGTTACTCTTCTATAACGCTCTTTCTTTTTATCTTCTCTAGTTTATCATAGAAGACATGAAGCAACAGCAAACCAACAAGCACAGCGTCCTGCACCGGGAGGACCAGCACATCACGGTGGAGGAGCTGTGGAGAGCCTGGAAGACCTCTGAAGGTAAAACCACTCTGAACTCTGAGAACCAGGCCTTTGTCGAAACAGATGATTATAGATGGATGGGTTGATAGATAGATATAGATGCTAGACAGATGGATAGATGCTAGATAGGTGATAAATAGATGGATAGATGCTAGATAGATAGATACAGTAGATAGATGCTAGACTGATAAATAGACAGATGCTAGATAGACAAATAGTTAGATGCTAGCTAGCTAGATAGATAGATAGATACTTTATTAATCCCCATAGTACACATTCAGGTGTCCAGTAGCAGCAGAAACACAAACAAAACATACATTTTTGCAGCTACAGAGGTTGTGTAGCTGCTGCGAGTTATGGTGCGGTTTAAACACCGGACAACGTTGTGTAACATAAAGGAGACGTGTGGCGTGACTGGATCTGAACCGGGGCCAACGATGATGAAAGACGTGGATTATGTTTTTAGGCTCGGCCCGCGAAACTCCCACTCGTGTTGCAAACCGTCGGCTTTAGTCATAATCCTGTGTTTGTTATCTTCATGCTTCATCTGCAGATAATGTTTTGGCGTGAGTCACATGAATGTTGTCGTCCGCTCTTCGGTCTTGACCTGATGAAAGTTTTTAACAGCTGATAATCTTGAATTTCCTTTTGGGATGATAACAAACAGGTGTTCGAATGAGAATATTGTTTTTTTTTTGACTGGGAGCAGTGCAGGTCATTGAACATATATGGTTGAACATACGTATTTGTCGACACCTCAGATTGCGCCCAAAGGTTAATTTTCATCTGTAGACCCAGAGGACGGGGGTCACAGGGCAAATTAGAAACGTCACTTCATCATTTAAACTGAATTACAGAAATGAATGAATTTTTGAACGATTTTTTCTGAATATCAATCAATCAAGCAACGTTTATTTGTAGTGCGTCTTTCCGACACAAGGCAACACAAAGCGCCTCACAACCCCACACCATATCCAGCAAATCATAAACATAACCTACATATACATACAAAACACTAGAAATATTAAAAACAGAATAAAATCACAAGTAATTAAAAACCTTAAAACATTAAAAACACTCACAGGATTAAAATAATGAATGGCCACAATGCACTAAAAAGAGTAAATATAAAAAAATATATAAAAAAAATAAATTCCTTCAGTTATACAGTATGCTCAGCTCAACAGAACCGTTTTTAACCTGGATTTGAAAACTGCCAGAGTAAATGCCAGTCTCACATCTTCAGGAAGATTGTTCCAGATTTTAGCTGCATGAATCTGGAACGCTGCCTCCCCATCTTTAGTTCTGACTCTATCACTTGTAAATGTATTCTACCCATGCTTTGTTTTATATCAATCAATACATGTTATTTATAAAGTGCTTTTCATACATACAACAGTTAAGAAAAAATCCCACATACCCATGAACGGACCACCCAGTCACCCACCTCAAACCACATATATTATTAAATACACACACATACACACGCACACACACACACCCGTTAGTAGACACACCTAAATGGAAAGGTCAATCTTTCTCAAACTGTAGTTCATGAACCACCTCCTCAAAGTGCTTAAAAGGCAATAATCAATCAATAAATAATCATAGTGCATTAAAAATAAAGATACAAATATAAAATCCCTCAGTTGTAAGCACAGAACTGTTTTTAACCTGGATTTAAACATGGTCGGAGAAGAAGCCTGTCTCACATTTTCACGAAGATTGCTCCAGATTTTAGCTGCATGAATCTGAAATGCAGCCTCCTAATGTTTGGTTCTGACTTTGGGCACCAGCAATTAATTATTCATGTTTTTAGTTACACATTTTTGATCTCCTTTTGGTTGATCCTCATAAAAAAATATCTCTAGAAATAGTGTAGTCCTACTGTCCTAGATGTGTCTGTATATAAAATAATGTGTGTATGCTTAGCCCTTTTTAAATCAGGTAAAGGTACAATGGAGGGCAACAAATATTCAGTGGTACTTGGTAAGATTAAAAATAAAGAAAAATATAAGCCTTTTTTTTATTCATGAAATGGGAAATGTTGGCATAGCTCAGTTCATACACAAAGCAACTCAAAGTGCGTTACCACACAGTAAAGTAAACATGAACACATACATAGATATGCCCAATACTTTCACATAATTTCCCGTTTATTATTTAGTATTAATTTAGTGCTTGTGTTTTGTGTTGTTTCAGTGCATAACTGGACCAGTCGGGACGCGGTGCAGTGGCTGAAGGAGTGCGTGGAGCTGCCTCAGTACGAGAAGAACTTCAAGGAGTTCAGAGTGACTGGGAACACCTTACCTCGGTTTGTCCTCCTCATATTACCCTATGAAATGCTGCCCCCTGCTGGTCAATGAGTGTAACGCATGCACTGGCTGAATTTGATGGTTTTAGTCATCAGAAATATTGACTTAAATACGACTGTAAATGTTTAGTGTGCCACAAATGGTCATGAATCAAACTAACTTTTCATTAGCATGAATGGAAATAAGCCGGTAGATTTTTTTTGGATCTAAATACATTTATTTACTATTAATTTTTCTCATAGATAATCCATGTTTGTTCCAACAGAGATAGTAGAAAGACAAGGCTTATTAGAAAACATTTCACATTGTTCATTGTAAGTCACTATTTGAGGCTTTGGGCTGAGAGCAGAGTGAGGGAGGACCTCTCTTTTTCACTTTTATTGTCTGAAAAACTTGATTTAAAGATGTGACAGTGGCCACAAAATACGTGCGTGTGAAAACTAGTGCTCGAAGCATATTTTGTTTTAGAATGATTAAGTACAGCTGTAACTCGCAGAATTGGAATATCGTTCAAAAGTCTGTTTACTTCTGTTATTCCACTGGACTCACAGCTTGTATAAACTAGTAAATTGTGAAAATGGACCATAATCATCAAAATGATAACAAACAAATGGGTGACTTACTGTTTTGAGAGCGGGAATCTGAAGACTAAGATAGATTCTATTACATGCTTGGATTGATTGCTTTCCTTTCTTTTGGTCAAAACAGGATTAGGCTTAAAAGCAAAACTCTTAATAATGCCTGTCCTCACATATTCAACACAAGACTGAATCAAACAACGGAACATTATGATTTTACATGTCATTTTCAGAATCCGTGAGTACAGGTGCTAAATGTTTACTATATATGCACTTTTTTCTGTTTAACAAGAACATTTTGTGATAAATTGTACCTTCAATATTGAGTTAAAAGCTTTGAAATGGAGCTTTCCCTGATCTTTTTCTCTGTATCGCAGCTTCCACTAACCCTTTAACCCTTTATTTAACCAAGAAACCTCTTTTTCAAGTGAGTCCTGGACAAGAAGAGGCAGTAAAAGTTACACACAGTTACATACGTTTTTTATGGATTGAAAGTCGGTCACCCCAACTTGGATCACGTGACATTTGACATTTGATTTCTTATGTACTAATATGCCTGCCAATATTTTTTCTCATTCCAGAATAGCAGCCAACGAACCGTCCTTTCTCTCCATGCAGCTGAGGATCATAGACCAGCGGCACAAACAAAAGTTGGTGTTGAAAGCCCTGGACGCCGTGCTCTTCGGACCTCCTCTACGTAAGTTCTCCACAACATCTTGGTCCGGTTTCGATCCGTCCTTCTGCGTCACTCACAAACCCGTCTCTCTCCCCGTGTCCTCGCTCCAGGTCCGCAGCACAACTGGCTCAAAGACTTCATCCTGATGTTCTCCATCGTGATCGGCGTGGGCGGCTGCTGGTTCGCCTACGTGCAGAACAAGTCCAGTAAAGTGCACATTTCTCAGATGATGCGAGACCTGGAGAGCCTGCAGCACGCCGAGCAGAGCCTCCTGGACCTGCAGAGTCGGTACGGGCACAAGCTGTTCCTGCTTTTTAAAAATCTTTCAGACAATGGGTTTTCAGCTCAGAACGAGGCCAAGACAAACAAAGGGTTAGTTTGTTTTGAATCTGCAGGAGAGGAGAGTTTAGAGAAGAGAGGGCAGTGGGGAGTGGGGAGTTTACTCTGAGATGGGGAAGTTGGTTTAGGCCTGAAACATGGATTGATATGGATGGATATAATAAAGTAATACATAATCATGATCAATCTTTATCACAGACTGGTCCAGGAACACATCACATAAAACACAAAACAACACGTTCTAGAAAATCCCTAACATGATGCAAACAAATCAGAAGTTTTCTAAATTTTGTGATGTAAAATTTATTAAAATGGAAAGACACCAATGACGTGGCAGTAACAGTGAAAAGCCCTAATAAGGAGTTTCTCTCTTCGATGATACGAGGTTATTGCGTTTTCAGATTCAGATTCATTTTATTTGCAGTGAAACCACATTGGAATACATTTGCAAAAGTCCCCAGTGTGCACAAGACAAGTGCATAAATACAAGGTTAAAAGTAAAGAAATAAAAACAACTCAACTTTTTAAGTATTTGAAAAAATTGTATTGGAAATTGTCAAAATTGTGATTCATGTTTTCCCCAAATCGCCCAGCCCTAATAAAGGGCATTGTAAAACACCAACATTATCCAAAATGTTCTTTAGAAAATTGATAAATCAGTGTAGTCAGTGTTTTACATCAGTTCATTAAAAAATAAAAAACTAACGACATAGATGGTGTATTTTTTATTTATTTATTTGCCCATGTTAAATAACTGCTTTTAAAGATTTCTGTAACTTTTGAGTGCCTCAGTGTTCTGTCTAATACTAATTCAATGCAATTGCAGTGAAAAAAAGGGGAAGGAGAGAATGTAGGAGGCTAATGGTTTTACTGCTGTGGTTTTCAGTAGTACGAGTTTACAACCGGGAAGTTGTTAAAGGGAAGTTTCTGCTCTGGTTGATCTCACATTATCGGCATCACATTTTGAGTAATGAATTTGCTCGGTGGCGAAGAACCCATGATGATGTTTTGTAATCGCTACACTTAGTAGAATTTGAGAAGACGGTACATTAATATTTACATTTACATCTCATGCATGGATATTTTATAATATTGTAAACCCACATTTGCAAACAGAAGCATGAATAAATTAAATATAAATTCACATTATTCAATTTTTGTATTACCGGTGATCAAAAACAAAGAAAAAAGATAACGCACGAGATAAAAGCCAAAGTCCTAGTTTATCTCCTGTGCTTTTCTCTAATCTCTAGTTGAGGAATTGACAATCTTAGTTTTAATTTAGGGCTGTATAAAAAATGATTGAATCCTTGTTTTTATATTATTTTAGGTATTTATTTGAACTAGTGCGATGACTATGAATTAAATACAGAATTCCATAAAGAAGTGCCTCCATCATTCTTCTTCTGTGTGGATCCATCACTCTTGCCTGAATTATACTTATTGACTTTACTTTCACTTTGCAGATCTGAGTAAAGTTATACACATCATGTTCCAGTTTGCCCCAGGGCCTTAAACAGTTTTAAATTATCTGAAGCACGGGCACTTGTACTACCACTGTTTAAGACCTTGTTCGCAAACCTAGACCTAAACCTGTATCTGTGAAAGATTCTGAACGTCTTGCCGTGTTTCAGTCTGGAAAAGGCCCAGGAGGAGAACCGCACGGTGGCTGTGGAGAAGCAGAACCTGGAGCAGAAGATGAGGGACGAGATCACAGGAGCCAAGAAGGAGTCGTACAGACTGAGGGAGCTGAGGGAGGGAGCCGAGTGTGAGCTGAGCCGCCTCAAGTACGCCGAGGAGGAGCTGGTGCAGGTCAGGACCACGGGGCTCAGAACACACTCGGAGACACCCGGATTTAGTTTATTTGCGTATATTTAGTAAAACCACATTTGAATACATGTGCAAAAGAAGCCCAGTGTGCACCAGACCAGTACATACATAAAACAAGCTAAAGAATATAAGAAATAATTGACAAAAACAGTTTAAATAACGCATAATAATGGCTTTATCTGGTGGTTCTTTCACAAACTATGTTGAGGACCTATTGGGATTTAAATGAAAATATTGTGTACGGTCCCTTTAACTCGGCTAAAACTACAAATTGTGCGCATAGTAAAGCTGTTTGTAAGTGTGTGCTGGTGCGTGCTGATTGGCTGCGACCCTCTTGAGCCTGACGTGTGCCTCTGTGAAGGTCCGGAAGGCTCTGAAACGGGCCGAGAAGGAGATCCAGTCTGAGCGCTCGGTCCCGGAGGCTCTGCAGAAGTGGCTGCAGCTCACACACGAGGTGGAGGTGCAGTACTACAACATCAAGAAGCAGAGCGCAGAGTTTCAGCTCTGTGTGGCCAAAGAAGAGGTACCGGCTTTTTACGATGACAGTTAAGATTAGTTATGATGAAAGAAATTATTGTCAGAAGGGAAATTGGCGGTGGGAAACAGTGCTACACAGATCTGCATGAATGAATACAAGGAAAAAGGAAAACACATAAACTCATCTGGGTTTTTTTTTTTTAACTCAGAAATGAGCTCTGGAGTCCTGGCTGAGAACCTTTTGACCACTTTTACCTTATTTTTTACCTTCTTTTCTTGACTTATCTGTTGTGTTTTTATTGTTTTTTGCGTAAATGTGATTTTTAACAATCTACCCATGGGTACAAATAAAGTCATTGAGCAGTGCTTTGAGGTCTCTGTTTAGTCCAATTCCACATCAAAATAAATGATAAATCCTGGATAAAAAAGAATATATTGTTCATCCAGTTTTAAAATGTATTTATTATTAGTTATTAGTTACACAGTTACAGGAAGTAGTGTCTCAAAGTGCTGTAATGTTATTGTTGCTCCATGACTTTCACTTTCTCCTGACCCCTCTGTTGTTTCAGCCCCGTTCTAACTATTTTGTCTCACTGTTTTATCAATTCCAGGCCGAGAAAATCAAAAAGAAAAGGGGTTCTGTGTTTGGAACTCTTCACGTGGCCCACAGTTCATCGCTGGATGAAGTGGACCATAAGATTTTAGAAGCAAAGTAAGTATCAGTTCATAGTGATAGGCTGTTGTTTTCACTCAAACTCTGTTATTTACACCTATTCTACAGTCTTTTTTAATTATTTATTTATATTTAACCTGCACAATACTCTTTTTTTATTTTACATATATCAATATTACAGACAATATAACATACAAAATAAACTTGTACCTTTAAATTCAACCTTGGACAAAGTCATGACTAAAGATTAAGTGGAAATACATTTATTTAGTATAATTGTATTAAGATTATTAGATTATCTATTTTTAACTTTTTATAACATTTTATAACTTTTGCACCATATTCCAAAAGCAAATTTGTAGTTTGGGACGTCCTGCTACTTACAATCAGATTCAGATCCATTTTATTTGCCACTTGCAGTAAAACCACATTGGAATACTCGATGGCAAAGCAAATAATTATGATTGTGGAAGTCGTGGCAATTACGAGTCAATTGTGATTTTATATGTATTATCCACTCAATATTATCAATAGAAAGTCATCCTCAATTCAAAACCGTTCACATATAAAGCAATATCTGTCAGGGTGTGGAAAAGCGGCTCAAAAAACAGACCCAAAGTCAAAAAGCGGATTAGGAGTTTTAATAGAAAGAGGCTAAAATCACAAAACAACAGCAAGATGCAAGAACACGTGATAAATACAAACTGTTATATTCTGCCATTTAGAAAACCCTCCAATAATCTTTACCTTTTGATTGAAATTTCTGACTAAAAAGTTGTGTGTTGCAGGAAGTCCCTGTCGGAGGTGACGGCCTGCCTGAGAGAGCGCCTGCACCGCTGGCAGCAGATCGAGAAGCTGTGTGGGTTCCCGGTGGTCAACAACTCTGGTCTGCCCAGTCTGACGGCCAGTCTGTACTCGGACCACAGCTGGGTGGTGATGCCGCGCGTGTCTGTGCCGCCGTATCCCATCGCAGGAGGCGTGGACGACCTGGACGAGGACACGCCCCCCATCATCCAGCAGTTCACATGTGAGAGACGGAGGCGGTGTTTGGATGTGTGCTGCGGGGAGGGGGTTATGTAGGGACTGAGAAGCATCTTACTGCAAACATCTAAACAAATATGAACTGGTTTGTATAGAGCAACCAGTAGCTCACCACCCCCTTCCAAGTAGCTCCCCAAAGGATTTAGATTTTACATAAATATTCTGAATATTGAAAAACATATTAATCACATGCCCACAAAAGTAAAAGCTTTTGCACGTAGGACTACTTAAATTAAAAAGTAACATTATTTTATGTTGAATGATTGACAGATTGACAATATATTTATTTGAGCCTTAAACATTGCCTTTGAAAGACTTATACAACATTGCACTGTGATAGAAATGTGTTAAACTATAGAATATGACGATGAACAATGTAGAAACCAATAATTAAAGTAACTAGTCATTTTAAAATGTAAGGAGTAGAAATTAAAGATATTTGGATATAACAATAAGGGGTAAAAGTAATTAGTAAAGTAAATTTATTTGGTTCCTCAACACCAGACAATAGGAATTTCTGATTCTCCAGTACAGAAGAATGCCTTTTATTTCTACTAAGAAGACAAGATGAACCTTAAATTAGTAAAGTACTAGAACCAGAGGGGAAAGTACACAATTATGTACTTATCTCTGGTCCATGTACTCACTGCTCTGTGAGTGTAGATAGATAGATACATAGTTACATGGATGCATATATAGATAGATATATACATAGATAGATCAATAAATACACAGATATATACTTTATTGATCCTTCATAAGAGAAATCCAGATGTCCAGCAGCAGAAACCCATACATTAATACATATTTCTAAAGGTTACGAACGATAACCTTGTGGCCTTACATGTCTCTGCTCTGTGTGTTTCAGCTCCTGGCCTCATGCGTCCTCCTCTGACCCGCAACAGCAGCATGTGTCGCTCTCGTCGCGGTCTCCTCACGTCCCCTCAGCCCTCGCTCATGTCCCCGGACCCCGACCTGCTGTCCATGGCCAGCTCCACCCTCTCCTATCACCCCGAGGCGGACGACGAGCACCTCATGTTCAGCATAGATAGGAGAGGGTACGTAGCTCCCTCCGCCAAGCCCAGCCCGCCGCTCGCCTCCGCACGCTGGGTCACGCTCAGGTGGATTACCCAGAAGCCTCTCTGGTGGTGGGGACCCTGGTGGTGGGGACCCTGATGGTGTAAAACTGCATCTTGGGAGATAAACTAAACATAATCTTAAGCTTTCCTACTGTCATGATTATATGTTTTATGGTCTTAGGGGAGTCTCTTATTATGGGTCAAGTCATCACTGCAAAAAATGATAAAATATTAGGTAAAATTTGCTTGAATTTATTGTTTTTTTAATCTTATTTTGAGTACATTGTGACTGTCTTAAAACAAGATTTTCCAATGGAAATATTTTTTGTATCTTTTTAAACAAGATAATATTGCTTTTCCCATTGGCAAATCTGGTTTTAAGGCAGTCATAATGTGCTCCATTTAAGATACATTTGGCCAAATTTGAGCAATTTTGGACTTTTTTGTTCATCACTTTTTCCTGTGATCTGTACTTTATGGGCTATAAGGCATAACTGTATATAAGCCACACCACCTACATAAACACAAAAAACTATTTTGTCTACATTTGTTAAACAGAAAAATATATGTTTATCCATTTGCTCCTGTGTCATCTGTAAGTAGATAATTTCAACCTCGAGGCTCAAGAGACAGAACCAAACGACACCAGGTCATTTTGCTGCAGCCTTGAAGCACTTTTCTAAATGGTAGCAGAGTTTTATTGATTTAAAGTAAATCCTTTAATATTAGCAGAGCTCCACACTGAACAGACCGGTCCAGCCAAGAGATTTAAGTGCTAACCACTCAGACAGCAGTGTGTCACCACAACCAGACATTTAGCTCTATCTTTATCAGACGTTTTCCATCAACAGATCTCAAACGATGATGAATAAAGTTTTATCATTAATGTATTAATTTAATACAGGATTAATGTTGTATGACAGTATTTTAAGGACTGGCTTTAATTTAGTACTAAATGTACCTATCATTAGTGGTTTTAAACATCTATACAGATAATTAATGAGTTGTTCCAGTTCCAAAGCTTCTCCCTGGTGTTGTCCAAAAGGCTGCTCTGTCTCCTCTACTCTAGAGTTTGATCTACTCTAGAGTTTGATCCTCTGTAGAGTCTGTGTTTGACCCGTGCTGCTGTGTCGCTGTGTGCAGGGAGGCTCTTCCGGAGGGTTGCTCGGACACAGACTCGCTCAGCCCCATGGGACGGAAGCCGTACCAGTGCCCCTGCTCCATGAGCTCGGAGACCCCGTACAGGAAGATCTCGCGAGAGGAGCTGCTGCTGTACACACAGAGCCAGGAGCCAGTGGCGTCCAGCCCCACGTCCAGCAGCAGGGACTCCACCCCCCCTCCTGCCACCAGCCCCTCCGGACCCCCCTCCACCAGCCCCTCCCCCGCCCTGGAGCACCACCCCTTGGCCCCTGACCTCACCTGCACCATCCCAGAGTCCCACAGCGCTCCGCCCACTCAGAGCGGGAAGGGCCTGTACAACGGGCTCCTGGAGAAGTCCTACAGCTTCAGCCAGCTGCCCCCCAGCATGCTGCCCCCTGTGGGCCGATACCCCTCCCTCACCTCTCTGGACTCGGAGGGACGCAGCATGGGCCGCGAGCACAAGCTGCCCAGCACCTCCTCCCAGGACTCCTGCGACAACATGGACAAACTCAAGCGCTCCTCATCCAAAATCAAATCTTTATTTAAGAAGAAGAAATAACGACACAGAGAGGATCGCTCTCTCTAAACTCTAACATGTTCTCGTTGTCATCAGACGAATGTAGCTCAGCCCACGCTGACGGCCTTATTTGAATATTGCCTTTACGTTCATGCAGCCTCACAGGAAGAGGAAGTCAGACACGCGTCAGAGAAAGGTCAAGAGTCACATTTGCACAAGACATGTTCAGTTGATTTCATTTGAACCAAAAGCCACTGTGTTGTTGAATGGTGTTAACTGCAGACTGTGGGAGTCTACTGAGTCTGTCTGAGATTTAAAAATGACTCATTATTTTACTAAGTTATTCTACACCATGTGAAAGGATGTTATGGTCCAGTGTTTAGCCTTGGCCCTAAAGCACTTGACTCTTGTTTTGAAGCAAAGGTCTGTTGCACTACTGCGCTCCCAGTGCTCTGGGACAGTGGAGTTTGGAGGAGCCTCCTCCGCTCTGTAGACTTCTAGTGACTTTGTTTTCATATTGTTTTGGTCTTAGATGTTTTACATAGATTTTTATTGGTGATGAGCTGAAGGCTATTGAATATGCAGATATGGGTGATTTCATTACATCCAACGTTCTCAATCTGACCTTTACTACTTGATTAACTGCATCCTGTAGCCATATCTCCTCCTGTTTGTCTTAAGCTCCCTTCCCTTCAAACTCAGTGTTACAACCAGAGTCTGGGTAATGTTCCATAATAAGGAATTCAATTTCAAATGTAGCTATGGATGTTGGTTCAGTCGTCAGAATGAATGGAATATTTTTTAAATATATATATATATATATCTATATTGTAATATCAAAATAGTTTTATTTATGTAGTCCACAATTGAATAAAAAATAAATGTTCTTTAGTGTCTACAATGTTTGTCAGTATCTATTGATTTCAGAAATGAAAAAATAAAGTATGAAAGAATATAAATAACATATTTTAAATGAGGGAAAACAGCTCTTCCAAGGTAAGACCTGTAAGAGTCTTTTGAACATACACTAAATATGAAAACAGATACAATAAGAGAACTATTGACACTAAGTGGATATTTGGTCCCAGCTGGTGCTTGTAACACTGAGCTTGTCCCTCACGACGCTGGAGCTGACCCATGCAATACGCTCCTGTGGGCGGCTCACGGCCTGATGTCAGAGCTCAACTTCACTGTGATCCACCTTCTCTTTCTGCTTCATGACGCAGACCGCCACCAGGGGGCACTGCGGTGTCAGGGCTCTGCCCAAACATCTATGGCGCTGCCTCAAGAGAACAGCACACTATGAAGGAACCACAGAAGAAGTGGAGACGTGAATGTTTACGACTCATAGTTTTTGTCATTGTGTGTGTGAATATATTTGTATACTGTAATAAAATTAATAAAAATATGGAGTCAATAAACCTGTGTTTGTATCATTCCACTGGGAATAAAACATCTGAATGTTGATATCAATGATATTTAGTTTATCTAAAAAAAACAACGTCACAAAAGACAACTGAAAGCAGAACGCTCCCTCTGATGTTGGAGTGTTTTGCACAACGACACAACAACTGTGTTTCATCTGGTACAGTGGTCTCCCATCTTCGGACTAACCAGGACCCGCACTGCTGAGCTTCTGAGATCTGATGGCGCTTGGACAGGAAGGCATTCACCGTTCCAATTTATTTTTCATTTTTGGGATTCACCAATTTCACTGATAAGATTTCTTAAGTTGTGATCTGGACAAAAACAAATCAAGTCCTTGTGATGAAAGGAGAATATCCAATTGTGTCACATTTCATCCAAAAACATTTCAAAATCACCAAAGCAGTCACTGGCGCTCAGGGTTCTACTCCGAATCCAACATCAGTATTCCACTGACAGCAGGAGATCAGAGGAAAGACAAAATAACGACAACAAACATGAGACTCAGCAGGAGGCCAAGGTCACCTGGATGTGCAGAGCCGGGAGGACTGAGAATGTGAAATCACCAAAATATTTTCCATCAAAAACATGGAGTGGTTAAAAAGAAAGAATTCTGTCGTGCTGACACTTGACAACAGACTGACACAGGAAACAACGACATTTTACACTTTTATTTTTCATTGATGTTTGAGATTTGTAGCGACGGTTCAGACAAATAGCGAACTATCTGAATGACGTCACTAAGACACGCCCCCGCCGCCTGTCAACTCCCGCCCACATGTTTCGGACAAACACTGCCAAAATGAATCAAATACCTCTTGTCACTTTAGACGAAAATGATAAACCAGGGGCAAAATTCCACCATCAAACCATCAGGGATCATAGTGTAGACCAATTAAAACGTTGGCTTGAATGTCGTGGTCTTCCAGTGACTGGTAGAAAGTTTGATTTGATAAAAAGGTAATGGTGAGGATTATGCTAACATTATCTAGTCATTTAAATTGCAATGTTAGCGCCTTCTTTGTTTATTTTGCTCTGATTAACTTCCATTTATCAAGTTGTTTTTTGTACTGTCCATTTCGTAATTAGTTTGATCATTTAGTTAGCTACAGTCAGCTGATATTATAATAGATCCATGGGGTCACAACGGGTTACGCCACTGTCTCTGAGAGAAACTATCAGAGCTAGCCACACTCAGTAAACGCAAACGACAATCAATCAACATATTTAAATGTTAATGCTAGAATATAATATTCATACAACACACGTGCACAGAGGTTTTCAGAATTATCTGTTAAGGTTTTCATGACAAAAATACTTTTTTAATGCGACTAAAGCGATCGCTTTTTTAAAGTAGGTGAACTAAAACCTTTGGGAACTATTTTCTTTGCACTCATTAAATAAACCTTTTGGCATGAATAGTGACAGAAGTTTATTTTGTGTGTTCAGTTGGTACAAAGCCGTATAATAAGCGGACCCCGACGCGCTTCGTCTGTGCTTATTTTCCGATAGTCACGAAGTTGAAAAAATCCCTCTCATCTTTCTTCAGGTGTGAGAATTGTATACATTCTGGATTAGGACAAACAATACTAATATGGATTGATGGGGCTAACTACATTCAGAAGAGCTCAGACGGACCTGATACAGCGGTCCAGGTGTAAACGTAGCTGGGCCCAGTCCCATACGTTTAGCCAGGTCCAGTCCCAGCTAAACGTAGCTAGGACTGGATCTGGAGGCTCCACAGTTGGTCCAGCGAAGTGTTTTGAAAAAACATGTCCTTTTTAACATTTTCATGAGAGAAATTCTGCTGACCACAAGCACCCACCTCTTGCACTTGTCCTGGTCTGGTCCTGGTCTGGTCCTGGTCTGGTTCGATGGTGTGGTTTAACGAACAGGTTGAATGTTACTACTTTCATATAGTCCTTTTCAGAGTATCTGAAATCGCTCCCACAAGCACCATAACTGCAGTGTTTTGTTGTCACCATGATTCAATGATTTAGCCCAAATAAATACACACGCGTATGAGGAGAACACAGTAGTACTCAACGGAGTCGGACACAGAAAGGGCAAGCACTATTTGCGACTCACGGCAACTTCCGGTGACTCGCGTGACTCAGGCGCTGTGAGCCGCGACTCAGCAGCCAGAAGTCGTGACTCACCGTTAAAAATAACACAATTCTTTGCTTCTCAGGGGTATCTGGGAATGATCAATGAGACAATATGGATCTGGAGGCATTGTTTACAAGTAATCAGTATGTTAGACACTCTACATCAGCTAGTATGTGTTTGTATAGCAGTCCATGTCCGTTAACCACTGACTCAGGCGCTGTGAGCCGCGACTCAGCAGCCAGAAGTCGTGGCTCACGGTTATCAATTTAACTTTTTAGGGGTATCTGTGGATTATCAATGACACATTGTGGATCTGGAGGCATATATTTACAAGTAACCAGTATGTTACACACTCTTCATCATCTGGTATGTGTTTATATAGCTCTCCATGTTCGTTAACCACTGACTCAGGAGCTGTGAGTCGCGGCTCAGGAGCTGTGAGTCGCGGCTCAGGAGCTGTGAGTCGCGGCTCAGGAGCTGTGAGTCGCGGCTCAGGAGCTGTGAGTCGCGGCTCAGGAGCTGTGAGTCGCGGCTCAGGAGCTGTGAGTCGCGGCTCAGGAGCTGTGAGTCGTGGCTCACAGTTAAAATACAGCATATTTTTGCTTTTTAGGGGTATCTGGGAATTTCTAATGAGACTATATGGACCTGGAGGCATAGTTTACACGCCTACTTCACGACACGCCTCTGTCCTGCAGGCCGCAGAATGACTACTTCGAACCCGCAGCAACACCTTTTTGAACAGGTGTGGGCTTATTCTATACATTAGCACGTAGCTCAACATGTCCTTCCAGTGATGTGCGGCACCACTCTGCTGCTATTCATGACTGAGCTGTATATGTTCCTGTATTGGGAGACAAAGTAACAGCTCATGTGGAAACAAATGTTCATGTTATAGTGCAATGTGTGCAAATGTATTAGCTACAGCCAAGTGCAAAACTGAAATGTATCAAACCTAAACCAAATCTTTATTCTTTATAATTGGTCTATTAAAGTGAATTACGTTGTGCATTTTTTTATAAAGTTTGTTTTCCTTCTCTTCTGTGTGTGGCTCATCTTGATGTGTCGTCTCAGTAGTTCTGTAATTCAAGAATAACCGGTTAACTACACTTAATTTTTGCATAGAAAAGAAATGAGAGAAAAGAGGCATTAAGGAGAAAAACATGTCTTGATGGCTGCAGCATGACACCTGTATTTCCACTGCATTTGTATCCTGTATAATGCTCCAGGATCAGATGTTTAAAGGGTATAAGGGAGCTACACTTTTTGGAAACCCTAAAACATTTGATTCAGGATGATCACGGAGGCAGTTATGAGGGAAAGTACAGGTGCCATGCAGCAGTCATACAGCCACTGGGCCACCAAAGGCTCAAATAAGCATCTTCAAACATTTCACCACAACAGAAGTTACTTGAATTCTGTATTTTGAACATCTGGGTTCGGTAACATGATCATATAAAATTATGTCATTAGGGTCTTTCTCTTTAATTCTCTATTTACAATAGTAAGTC